CTCCCATCCATTTGAAATGCGGAACGAGGAGGAGGGCGCCGACGACAACGAGAAGGAGGAATAGGAGGGGGACGATGAGGGAGAAGGAGGAAGAAGGAGGAGGAGCGCACTGGCCACAGAGAGGAGGGCGGACAAGAGCAAGAACGAAAGAGCGACGCCCGCCCAGGGGCAAGAGAAGGAGGAATACTGGAACAAAACATGGAGGAGAAGCGGGAGCAGGAGGAGGAGGAGGAGGGCGGAGGAGGAGGGCGGAAGAGAAGGGTCAAGGAGGAGGGTCGAGGAGGAGGGCGGAAGAGGAGGAGGAGGAGGAGGAGGAGGAGGAGGAGCGTCGACGAGGAGCAACTGGAACTGGAACTGGTGAAAACGCGACGCGTTATTCGTCGACGAGGAGTAGACGGACGAGGAAGGAAGGAGCAGGAGGAGGAAGAAAAGTGCGTCGGGGAGAGGAATGTGCTGAGGGGGCGCGGGGGGGGCGGGCGGCCGAGGGCAGCAGGGGCGATCGAGTGGTGGGAAAAAACGCGAGCGCTTTCCGCCGAGTCGAGAACGGCCGAGCGGTCTTGCACCATCACCGGGTGCGTGGCCGAAGCGGTGCACCCCTTGGCCTCCTCCTCCCCCTCATCCTCCGCATCCTCCTCCTCTTCCTCCACCACCTCCTCGTCCTCCTGTTCCTGCTCCTCCTCTTCCTCTTCCTCCTCGTCCTCCTTCTCGACCTTCTCCTCCACAGTTACATATTCTAAACACTAATCTCCTCTCACCCCTGACGACGTCCAGAAGATATCCTGCCCTCCGTCCGCGTACTGTCTTTTTACACACAGGCTTCCCGGGAAATGGGTTGTCGCTTCTGTTGTTTCAAAATGTTGTTCCCGCTGAGGCGTTGGCCCCATTTATGCGTCTCTGGTTGTTCCAAATCGTGCCCCCGTTGCAAAGCAAGCGTTTGCGGTCCACATAGGCCCCAAAATCTTGAAAATGCCCCCCCTCGAGTAAGCCATCGGAAGTGATCCCGCATTCGGTGTCGAGTCGTTGATTCTTTCGACCGCAGAAGCCCCCCCCATACTCGGGCGTCCTCGTTTTCAGGAAGCATCACGCGGGAGCCCCGTCTCTGCTATGAGAAGACGAAGTTGCAAGCAAAGCCAGCAAGTGCTCTCCATCAACCCCGTTTTGTGTGAAGCTTTCCGGGAAACCCAAGGAGCTAGACATGGAACCACGATTCAAAACTGGCCCAGACCTCTCGCAGGCGATTCACTTACCCTTCGAGGAACCCGGCGCCATGCCATGGCATGCTGTGCGGTGTTGTGGTCTGCGCCGCTGTGCGATGCCATGCTTTGCGTTGCAATGTTTCGCGGTGCAGAGCTTCACTGCGCAATGCCACGCCATGCTCTGGCATGCTACTCTCTGCCGTGCTCTTCTACGCCAGACCATGTCATGCTCTACCATGCCTCGCGTACCATCTCGCGATCATTGCCCTGCCCGACATCCGCCTGTGCGAATGGAGAGGATATTTACGCCATGGTAAGAATGGGAGCGAAAGGAGCCGAGAGACTCCGAAAGAAGAGAGAGAGCACCAGACAGTCAGTCGCTCTCGCCGTTCCCACCCGCCCCCCCCCCCCCCCCGCGGTCTTAGCAGCAGGCTCGTGCCAGGCAGGCGGCCTTTGAGCAGCTTCTGCCGCTCGGAGCACCTGGCCTAGGGCCTGCAGGGACCCGCGAGCCTGGCGCCCACCTTCGCGGTGGCGAAACCCCCGCACCTGCGGGCCCAATTCACAGGCATGTCAGGGCCAACGATCCAGCCCACCAGAAACGAGTGTCTCTGGTGGGTGTCTGCCAACACCACATCTAAAAGGGCGGGGTTGAGAGCCGCGCAACCCTCCTGGCCCCTGGACCCACGCGACTCAGACAGCGTCTGCGCCGCCATTTTGACGCCGAGCTCCACCAAACAAAATCATGGGGGTGGTGGCGGGGCACCTTGGGCGCACGCTCAACCGCATTACGACAAACCTCACCGAATGTATCCTGAAGAGTCGGCCACTCGTCGAAGCATTTGGCCATGCCCCTCACCAGCTTCGAATGGGCCTTGAGGGCAAGCTGAATGGTCCCAGACTCACCAATCGGAAACGAGTTGTCATGCGCAGCCTTTCGGCGTAATGGTCTGCAAGACATCGCCTGCAATAAATGGGGCATCATTGTCGCCAACAGCATGGGATTTATCTTTGCTGGCTTTTCCACGCACGCAACGAACGACGCGATCCGAACCAGTCACGCGACTCATGGCCCGCCAGAAATGACCCTGACTGCACTTAGGACCAAAACCTGGGCAGGGCGGCCGAACGGCGCATGGGAATCGACGTGGAGCTCGGATGCCCCCATGCAGTATTCACTGAATACACGAGCCAAAACCGCTCCAGCACGTTCCCCGATATCGCCGTCTGGGAGAGAGCGAACAGCAAGCCAGCGCACACACTTCTAATTCGGCCGCCGCCATCGTCTACCTCGACAAAGGCACATCCAGCACGGGCCAGGGCCCACACAAAACGAAGGCGGATACAGCTCCCATCTGAAACCAGACGGGCCCCTGGAGGGATGCACAAAAAGTTTCGACCGAATCACAGCTTTCGTCTGCAAACTTGATGTGCCAGCTAGAATCTGGGGTGGCCAGATCAAGACACGCCGCCCATCCAAACGTGAACAGGGGATGCCCACCCCCAGCCTCAAGGGCCTGTCGGACCATAGGGCCTAGCCCGCTTTCGCGCGCGGACTGGACGCGGCTGCATGTCCAAAATCGGCGCCGCACCGTATCAAGGCGGCCGCAGTAAACGCCATTCTCTTCTAACTGGAAACTCCAGCTGCAAAGCTCGACTCCGGTGGGTAAACAACCGCGAAACACCCGACGGAACAAAAGCGCTTCTCGGGCGCTGAGCTACAGGCAGCGGAAGACAGGAGCCTTGCGAGCGAGTTCCCACCAGAGCCCTCGGGATTGATTATCGGACCACCCAGGCCCAGAAGGCTTCATTTCCTGGCCCCATCGCTCGCGGACCAGCGCGCTTTTCAACTGGCCGACAAGAAGTTCACGCACATATGCTGGGCCGCGCGCGGTGAGGATTATTTCGACCCCATCGGCAATCTCGGAAGCTAGCAGGCCCTTGGACACCCCACCCAGCTTCGAACAACCACAGAATCGCGTCCGAAATCTAACCAATACTCTTGACGAACCACCACTTTCTGGGGGCTTCTAAGATACGGCGCAATGCAAGTGAAACGTTTGGCTGGGGATACGCGCAGACAGAGTGTCTTCGCGCGCGCGCTGCTCGTCGCGGCCAGAAGAGCCGACGGCGTCGACCAATCCTCTGCGCGTCGGGCCAGCGGCGCGGCCGCGACATCCAACGGGCCCCCCGCCCCCGAGCAAGCCCAAACCGGGCCAGCCGCACCCCCTCGAATAACTATGCCACTGGCCCGAGCAGCTGCATAACGCAGTCGCTCCACTTGGCGCGGGGCAGGTTGTTAATTGGTTCGGAAAAGGCGGCCGCGAGACTTACTCTGAATCAGGGGGGCCCACAACTTCTGCCGACGCCGGTAGAACTTCCGAAAACGCTTGGTTCGAACCTACAAATTCGACGGCCCTCGACGGGCCTTGCCCCCAGTGAAAACGACGCCGAGGCGAGGGGCGCCGCGCGCGCCCCCCCCTCCCAGCTTCCCCACTCGTTCTGATTCGCGCAGGAGCGGGGGGCCAGTGGCCGCCGTGCCGAACTTCCAAATTGCCATTGGGAGGTGGAGGTTGTCCTGGAGGTACCTAGACATGCTGGCAGCCAAACTGCACGTGGCGCCACAGCATCGGGTCGGCTCGCCCCACACTTGGAGAGAGAAGTCATATGCGCGCAAAATTCGTGGCGCTTGCTGGCAAAGACAGCGCGCGCTGCTCCGCCCCTGGCTCGAAGTAAAATTTGGCTTCAATTGCGGCCGCGCTGCTGCCTGCCACTGCCCCTCTGGGCGCCCAGAGGAGGTCAGAGATTACGCAGTCGCAAAGTAAAGAGAACGGGCCCACCCGCAAGAGGCGACGGCAACGTCGACCAAGTCGAGAGGGCATTCAGACAACTCAGCAAATCCTCGAAGCTCATCCCCAGGCACATGCTCAAAAGACTTCTCGACACCCCACGGGCGGAGAAGGATGTTGAAGCTCTTCCCCGAAACCCATTCCGCTCGGACAGAGGCCCCCCGGACCGAATCGGATGGCGCGCGCTTCTGAGCAGCAGACACCCCACCACCACGCACGGAACTCCAACTCCCACAACCTGGTTCTGCGCCCCCGCGCCGCTCCGCACAGCCTGGGCGGGGGGATTTACACTGTGGGTCTCCTGGCACCCCCTTCTCCTTCCTCGGGCGCCAGGAAGACATCTCGGCGCCGCGCGCCGGCTGGGGCGCCGCCCACAGACAGAGCGAGACGCATCGTATAGCTCGATCGCGCAGCAGGCTGCACGGCTACAGACGGCACACATCTGGTCGACAGGCGGCAGTCTTGAGCTTCCTGGAACGCGCCCCAATAAGCTCGACTGAAGCAAGGCCAAGGACCACCACAGGAGGTCCCGCGGGGCCCCGGCGAATCGCAACTCGCTGGCCAGGCCCGCCCCCAGATCCCCTCCTGGGCTGTCAGACGGGCCTGAACCGACAGCGAAGCTACAACGAGCGGAGCCTCAGAGGCCTGCCCCCTGGGCTCGGGCCGAAGACCTGGCTCGCCTCTCAAAACTCAAGGGTCGCAGCGGCCCCCCCTTCCGACGCCTCAGCGCGCCATTCTCTCTAGCGGCGGCGGGCGGCCACCCTTCTAGATTGGCGCGCGCTGCCTCGCAAATAACTAGCGATCTGAACGGTGCGCGGGGGGGTGGGGGGAAGTTCCCGCGACGGGGCAGCAGCGCAAAAAGCGCCGACATTGCTCAAGAGGGGGCGCCAGAAGTCGCAGCCAGCCTGCCAGTACTTGAGAAACGGGCCTCCTCCCCATGCGGTGTCCGCCAGCTGGT